AGGGGAGGGTTAGATTTGACATTGGGAGGAAATTCTCCCCATAAATGTGATTAGATATTGAAATGGACTGCCCAGGGGAGTGGTGAAGTCATGTGCCTGGAGGTGATTTAGGAAACACTGGATGTGGCACTTAGTGCTGTGGTTTAGTTGACAAGGTGGTGTTCAGTCATAGCTCGGACTTGATGATCTCAGGTGATCTCAGATCTCATCTCTTGATGTCTTTGCCAACCTAATTGATTCTGCGATACTCGTGGCAGTCTCTTCAGCTTTAGAATGTTTAAATTGTTTAAGTATATTTGCAGTGTTGTAGCTTGTCATCTTTGATTTTTTACAGGTTTGGATTCTGCCTACCTGCTTTTCTCTAGGAAAAAAAAAAACAGGAAACTAAAATATAACTTGTATTTTAATGAAATATTCAAGCTACTAACTGAATCTCTGAAAACTGAGAAATGAAGAGAGAGATTCTTATGGCAGTGTTGCTTCACACTGCCTGATTTCTGTTTCTTTATGTGGCTTTCCTATGTGCACAGCAGTACTTACTGTTGCAGTGTTATCTAAAAGATGAACAACTTAACTTTATACCTCATAAGATTTAATTGTCCCATTCCTTGGCTTTCAAACCATCAGACTAAGTGAATGCAGAGTGCTCTATGATGGAAATATAATTTTGGGTAGATGTGTGCTGCTACAATATTTTATTTATACTGTTTTTATTTTGTTTACAACCTTGAAGTCATAGAGTCATAGAATGGTTTGGATTGGAATGAACCTTGAAGGTCATTGAATCAATGCCCCTGCCATTCAACAGACCAAATTACTCAAAGCTCCATCCAGCCTGACCTTGAATACTTCCAGGGGCAGGACACCCACAACTTCTCTGGGCAACCTGTTCCAGTGCCTCATGATCCTCATTGTTAAAAAATTCTTCCTTATATATAATCTAAATCTACCCTGTCTCAGTTTGATACCATGAACCCTTGTCTTGGTCTTGGTAAAAAGTCCTTCTCTGTCTTTCTTATAAGCACTTTTTAGGTACTGGAAGGCCACAGTGAGACCCCTGTCTTCTCCAGGCTGAACAACCCCATCTCAGCCTTTCTTGGACAGGTGGTGTTGTATGTATGTGAATGTATGAAATATATGTGTGTTATAGGAGTCCTACTTTGTAAAACAAGCTATTGTTAAAGCATAGAACAGAGATAATGCTTACATTTCATAGTGCGTAGTAAAAAGAGAATTCCATCTTTTTGAGCATTAGGTTAATTAATGGAGAGAAACTGTCTCAAGGGAGGGCTTAGAAAACCACGTGTTGAAGCAATGAAAGAAAAGCAACCAGCACTATCTGAAGCAATTGATGAGCCCTGTCAATTAAAATTAGAAATGAAAGACTGGTCACAAGCCACTAATAACTCTTGTGAGTGCTTCTTTGGTAGACTGACCTAAGATGAAACACCCAACTACAGAATGATGTGTAAGTCAGGGGGAATTTATGCCTTCTGAAAAGGAAAAAAAACAGTTACTGGGACAAAATAGGACTGGGATACAAATGGACTTGGAGGAGAATCAGTATTATTTAGACTGACTGCAAAAAAACCATATTAAAAACTGGATAAAATTTGAAATGGAAAAAGAGAAGGATAGTGAAAGCGGTTTTGTCTTAATTTTTCTTGATGAAAGTCTGACTTGCACTGCTATTAGGTTCTCTGAATTGTCATTTAATTCTTTCTCTGGTTCCAGAGCTCTATCAGCCAGCAACCTACCACGTATCAGAAGATGGTTCATTTGAAATTGTGGATGAGACTACTGCAGAGAAGGTAAAAACTTTATAGAGAATGCAGTTAATACAGTAGGGAGAGTCTGGGACATTGCTGAGCCCTCAAACTCGGCATATTGATTGATATTTAGAAATCCTGCATTATTGGAAAGAGAATGCCCAGATATTTCACTTGTATTTTACTGTTTGCAAAGGATGCCCAGCTTCCAGAAAAATCTTTTACTGCACACCCGAAACGATTAATATAATTAAATGTTGCATTGCACCAGACTGATAGATCCACTAAAGAACTTTTGAACACATTGACAATAAAGAAATTGATTTCATTATGCCTGAAATAGACCCCTCTACATTCACTTTCTTTTGGCCCTCTACTCAGCTCCACAGTAGTATCCACTCATTGCAATAGAACATACCTGTCTAAATTAATGTCGTATTTTCTTAGTAGTAGCAATATTTATTTGATTAAAATGTTTAGATCTGGAAGCACTTTACAAATCTGAGTAGAATCTTAATCCCTTGCCTTTTGCCTCTGCAAAATGTGAGTAATGTTACAACAGAACTTGAACTGGGGTTTGTTTTCCGTTTCCAGAGTGGTGCCCATGGAATGTCATTCCTGTAATTCAAAAAGGTTGGAATGCTGAAGTTTACAATTCTGTAGGGCAGAGAAAGAATTAGTGCAGGCATGAGGGACTTCCCAGAAAGGAGGGATGTTTCAGCTGCTGAGAGTAAAAATTACACCAAAGAGCCTAAGAAGAAGAAAGGAATTTCTAAAAAGAGTGCTGCAGATAAAGCATTCAAGTACTGAATGTAGGGAGAACAAGAAACTTAAGGGGCTGGAGGTGTTTTGAAAGTATTCCACGAGACTGCAGTTTCATGGATGACTTTTATTGCCTTTTATCTAAATAGAAGTGCATCACCAAAGGAGGAACATCTTTGCATCCTTGACCTATTCCAAATTGCATGTGGAAAGCTGTGTAGCTGTACATGTTTTGCTAGACAAAGTACATGTTTTGTAACCTAGTGAGTGTGATTATCAGTTGTTTTTCTGGAAGCTTGCTGGAATTTTTTCCAGGGTCAGTACCATATACGCACACTCTTTTGCCTTTAGGTGCCCTGGATCCCTCTGGACCCCTTGAACCCTGATCTGGAACTGTATCCAGAGTATGCTCAGGCAAAGCCTTTGAAGTGTACAGTGAAAGCTGGTGAGATGTTATATCTGCCTTCTCTCTGGTTCCATCATGTTCAGCAATCACATGGCTGTATTGCAGGTAAAATAGACAGTATTTATGGATACATTTTGGAACTGTGGTGGGTCTGCAGCAAAGCACCAGTGGAAGCAAAAGTTCCTTTAAGGCTATCTGCCTCTCTGCAATCTTGACAGATCCCATGGGGCTGCCTCCTTCCAGCCTGTTTTGCTTATAATTCATAGCTTTGTTGGCACAACATGGAAGACACTCTGTTTTCTTATGAGCTGAAATCTGTTCTGACCTAATCTCTTACCTTGCTAATAAGGTTGTGTTTGTGTTACTGTTCCCCTGAACTTACCAAAAGTCTTGTCATTGTTTTCTTTGTATGATTTGTCATAATCTCTCTAGCTCTTTTTTTTTCTTCTCTCCCCAAGTGAATTCCAGAATTTCAGTCAGTGCTCATTGGGTACATGTGGAGGGGTGGGGATGGTGCAAGATATTATTATTGTGCAAATTTTGCAATGTTTGAGGAAGTCATTTTTGTAAATCATTACATTCTAGCCTTAAAATGTATTTCCCTTTTCTTGTCTCCTCAGTGAATTATTGGTATGACATGGAATATGACATTAAGTACAGCTATTATCAACTACTAGATTGTCTCACAAAAGCTGTGAAAATGCTATAGCAAAGGTGGGAGACTCGAGCCTGTGATGTCTGTTTCTGATGTGATGCAATTATCAGCATCGTGACTGGAGTACAAACGTGATTCCCCAAAAAGAACTGAACATTAAATTATGGTCAGCAATGCCTGCTGAACACATCATGGCTGTTTTTCTTGATTTCAGAGTCCAGACCAATTGGCCAGATATTTTGGCTTGTAAGGAGAACTTTGCTAATAGGATTTTTAGGACTTTGCATGTTGCCTTGCTGATGGTGAGCAAAATAAAATGTGAAGAGAGATAATCCAGGTTTTGAAAATCCCAAAATGGAAGCCCTGATTGTTTGTTCAGATCTACAGATTGTTTTCATTACAACCCAAGTGGACAAGGAAGGATCTGCTATATGCATCAGGCTGCAATAGTCCAATCTATGCACTCTGCTTAAGGCAAAAGTCTGTCCTGTTATAATTCTTTAAGTTCAGTGGCTGTGGTGTTTTGATGGTGAGGAACTACTATTTCTGCAATAAAGAGGTCAGTTTAAACCTTATTTCTGTAATAATTTACTTTTTTTTTTCCGAAGTAAACAATGGCTGAAGGACATCTAGGAGGACATGCAAAAGTCAATGTTGGCTATTTTCCAATAAAAAGCTACACGTTTTTAGTGCTGTTTTTTATTTCTTTTCACTGTTGTATTTAAAGATAACTGCATTCTCTTGCATCCTGAGGGATGATTTTAGAGTTGCTCTGCCATATCTGCAGTCAATCTTCATGTGGTCTCATGGCATGAGGTGTGATTCTACAGCTTGTAAGCTCACTGATTGTTTCATTCCTTTGCCATTAATTGCTGCTTAGAGCATGGTCAGGCAAGTTGTTTGAACCAGGAACCGGGTTCAAAGAGCCATAATTCCCATTTTTATTTCCACAGAATGGGCTGGGACTACTTGCGTGTCTGAGACCCTCAGGGTAGGACAAGAAGTCTTTTAAATACTCAGACATTGCAAAAATGTAGTATTGTTGTTTATGAAAACCAAGAGCTGGTGTTTATTGTCAAATCTTCAAGCAGATCCTTAGAAACATTTTTGATACGGGGGAAATTAATTCTTGGGAAGGAAAAATATAGTAATTGTTTGACTTTGTTTCTTTTGCTTTTTAAAAGAAACATAGTTATAGCATAAAGTTTAATTTTAACTTGTGGTACTTGTCCAAAAATTGCAGAAAGCTCAAGAGGGATCAAGAGCAGGCTTTGTTTCGTGGTGAGATTAAGATGTCACGCTGCTTAGGCTTTGCAGCTTGTCTGTGTTTACTTTGCCCTGGCAAAGTCTCCCAAGCCTTCCAAATCTGGGATTTCCTGCAGCTGGGGGGGGGGGGGCGCTGCTATTTCGCTATCTCTTTTTGCCGCTTTGGGGTTTTTAATTTAGTTTCTGTCTGTAATCAAAAGTAAAAGCACTGGCCAAGAACAAATGACAGCTTGAGCCAGTGACCGGTGTCACCGCGCCACCGCAGCCGGGGAGTCTAGCGGGAGGCGGGCTCTGAACTACGGCTCCCAGCAGCCCGTGCCGGCCGAGTGGAGGAAGTGCTCACGATGATTCCTTCTGGACTTTGAGCCGAGATTTTAATCCCGAGAAGGGACAGGTTGCTGAGGCTCGTGTCTCCCGAAGTTCAGGCGGTCGGCGCCTCGCCCCAGGCAGGGCCGCAGCTCTCCGTCCGGCCAGCCGGGATGGCGGCGCGTCTGTCTGTCCTGCCTTCCCTCCGGTGCCTGTTCGATGAGCCCGTGCAGATCCGTGTGGCCGGACTGCAGCCGCAGCAGGCGGTCACCCTCCGGGCCAGCCTGCTGGACGAGAGCGGGGAGCTTTTCCAATCCCACGCTCTCTACAGGGCTGGGAGCAGCGGGGAGCTGGACCTCAGCCGCTCCCCAGCGCTGGGGGGCAGCTATTTGGGAGTGGAGCCCATGGGGCTGCTCTGGGCTCTGCAGTCCAAAACGCCCTATAAGCGGCTGGCAAAGAGGAACGTCCTGACCCCTTTCTCTGTGGACTTGGAAGTGTATGAGGGCCACGGGGACGACACGAGCCGCTTGCTGGGAAAATGCACCAATGAACGATGGTTTTTAGGAGAGGGAGTGAAGAGGATTCCGGTCAGAGAAGGTCGTCTCAGAGCAACCCTCTTCCTCCCTCCTGGTGAGTTTAATTCCATTCTGTTTTTGTAGGTATGTCTGACACCAGGTATTCTGCCCCGTGGTCCCTGAATGCACTCAGCCACCCAGAGCAAAGCCTCAGCTAACACTTCCCTCAGCCTGTGCCTGGCGCAGGCACCTGGATCACCACAGCAGAGCAAACAGGAGCGGGTGTTGCCCAGGCGGGGCAGGGGTATGGTGGTGCAGAGGGGGCATCAGTGTTAACACAAGGTGTCTCCTGCTTGCTCTAGTTGAGTGTCTTGACCTCTCTTGCAGTGAGAGCTTTGTCAAACGGTGTGTTTATTTCTTAGCTTTTCTCTCTAGCTGCCAGGACAAAGAGGCCCCGGTCCTTGGCAGAGCTGTGATCCGTGACAGCTCTGGCCGTGGGGTGAAGAATGGCAAGGCATGATGGGAGCAGTGGACTCAGGCTGCAGCCAGCCTAGGCGAAAGAACCATGCCCTCAGCAGCTCCTACAGGTCTTCCTGCAGGTTCTGGACCTGTCTCTCTTTAGCTAAGGAAAAGCCAAAGAAAGAAGTTTCTTCCTGACTGGGCAGCTGGACTGCATGGGTTACTTAAGGAGACGGGAGACAAATGGGAAAAGCAAGGTCTTTAATTAAACAGATGCCATATTTTACAACTCTGTACACAGACAGTGCTGAGAATGGATCCTGTGCAAAACTGCTTTAGGCCTGAAGTGTTTCTGCCCCTTGAATGGCCCTTAGACATGGCTGTCTTGCTCTGTAATTGACAAACAGTCCCTTGCAGCTGCAGCAACACCACATCTTGTAAGGGAAATCTGGCTGTGAGAATGGGCAGACAGCATCAGGAAAGGAAGGTCCTATTGCTGCAGGAGAGCTGAGGAGCTCAGGGGAAATTACTCAGATCTTACTGAAGCCTGAATTGGCACAGATCAGTTCTGGCATTTGTGAATATTTCATAACCTGAGTATTTAATAACTCAAGTATTCCCTTCATGGCATGCCTGCCAGCATAGTGCCTAAGGAAGAGCCACTCCTGCAGTAATACTGTTTCTTCATTGATCCTCAATGGCCTGAGGACTTGTAGGCCAATGCCAGCTGAAATTCAGGATGAGAGAAGGATGTCCAACATGTGAATTTCCTATAATGAGTTCCTAAGAGAGAAAGAAATGTGCAAATTCATGTCCTTGCAGTCATTTTGTTTGTTCCTGAGAACGACACTCACCATGGAAAGCTTCAGAGGATGATTTTCTTCTGATATCTGCTGTCCTGATGTGTGCTGAGGAGGCACCACAAAAGGACACCCAGAGGAACTTTTCTTTTGGTTATGCATACCCCCTCCTTTCATTGCAGGACCTGGCCCATTCCCTGGACTTATTGATTTGTATGGATCTGGAGGAGGTCTTATTGAATACAGAGCAAGTCTCCTGGCTAGCAGAGGCTTTGTGACTCTGGCCCTTGCTTACATGTCCTTTGAAGACATCCCTGCTATGCCAGAGACCCTTGAACTAAGCTATTTTGAGGAGGCTGTGAACTTTTTGCGTAAGCAGCAGCAGGTAAGAGACAAATTATGGTGCTCTTCCTGAAACTATTTTCCAGTTTGCTAATTGGTTCCCAAACTGGAAGTATTAAATTGCTTAAGCAGGAAACATTAATTTTGTACTAGTTTTGCATATCTTAAGATTTTAGAAGGGAAAAAGAATCCATTGGCTTTTTTCTGTTTCTGAGATATTACAGGCTTTTGATCCTGAGTTTTGCAGGATAGTAATAAAACACTCTAACAACAGAATCCTTCACAGTTGTAGCACTGGAGGTGTGACATATCTTAAGAGGGTGAGACTGTATTTGAGCAAGTGTGTGGGACAAGAAAGACATTTTATGGCAATGTATCATCATACTTAACCTAAAAGTGACCAAGAGAAATAAAGTAGCATTTAATTTTTTAATGCAATGCTACTTAATGTGTATTTGTTTTGCAAAATTATTCACTTTCTTTTACATGGACACCAGCATTGTAGGCAGTGTGAGAGCAGAATTCAGCCTTGCTTCTCTCTGTTCCTCAGAGAGTTCTGAAACATCTAGAATTCAGTGTGAAGGGCCTTCACTAGAAATAAGTTGATTAAAACAGCTTTTGGACTCACTTAGCCTCAGGTGTAATAAACATTATGTCTTCCAAGACAACACAGAAAATAACAGGTCAGCTGTAGGAGAGAAGAAACTGCAATGAAGAAATTCAATGCAAGAAAATCCAGGAAAAAGTGTCTTGGAGAGAGGAGCAGTAAAAGACACTGTACTGAGAGCAGGCTGAGCTGAGATGTGGAGGGAGCAAGGACACTTTGTCTGTGCAGGTCACCAGGAGGCAAGTGTGTTACAGGAAGTGGAATGTTGAGGAGCTGTAGAATTCAAAGTCGCTCTTTTGGAGGCTCAGCAGAGGGATAGATGAAGGAGTAATATAATCTGAACAGAGAGAGGGAAGGGGCAAAATGTGAGTGATCATAGTTGGATGAGTGAGAAAAACTGGAGAGGTTATGTCAGCTCAGGAAATGAAGAGTACTTAATATTACTATTTTCATAATTCTGTTTCAGGTGAAAGATACTGGCATTGGCGTTTTGGGCTTGTCTAAAGGAGGTGATCTAGCCCTTTCCATGGCCACATTTCTACCTGGCATCAAGGCAGCTGTCAGCATATCTGGAAGTAGTTTTAATTCCTTTATTCCCCTGGAGGGGGATGGCTTCACTATTCCTGTCCACCCATATGACTTGGGGAGGGTGAAGATCAGTGATGAGTCTGGAATAGTAGATTTTTCAGATGTCTTAGACGATCACATGGACCCAGCAACTTGGGATTGTCGCATTCCTGTGGAGAGGTCCTTGGCCAAGTTCCTCTTCCTGTGTGGACTGGATGACATGAACTGGAAAAGTGACCTCTATTGCCAGGATGCTGTTCAGCGCCTTCAGCAGCATGGCCGGCAAGTGGAGTTCTACTCCTATGCTGGAGCAGGGCACCTCCTGGAGCCGCCATACTTGCCTCTGTGCAAAGTTTCAATCCACAGGGTGCTTGGGATGTTGGTGCATTGGGGAGGGCAGTGGAGAGAGCATGCTAAAGCCCAAGAAGATGCATGGCGCAGGATACAGGCCTTTTTCTGGCAACATTTGATGGACTCAGACATCCCTAAGAGCAAGCTGTAGTGGAAACTGTCAGATTCTGGCCAGGGATGTTATTTCAGCACTCACTGGATCTTGGAAACCCACCAGAAGTTTCCTGGACTCCCTTCCTCTAAACCCCACTGTTGCATAGTTGTTTATTTTCATTCCCCAAATAATTTCCCATTTTTTAGTTGAATTTCAGTTGACTTCTGACCCCAGCTTCACAGTAGATTGGCACATCTGTGCTGTAGTCTAAAAACAACCCAGCATCCCATCATCTAAATCACATTTGTGCTGAGCTATCTTTGCCCTCAATCTGACACCATCTCCTTTCATAAGACGAAATACTCTCACAGGAGGAGCTATCCATTGAATGATTTAGTCTTGCACCTTTAACTAACATAGATAAAACAGCAATTTTGTTGGACAGCACTGTAGTGCACTCATCCTTCCTCCTGGTATATTGTTTTCTCCCATTTCATAGTAAAAAGGTTGCCGTAGTTCTGATCTCAGCTAAGGGAAGAGGCACTCTTCTGGCTTAATTGGAAGTGCAGTGATAACATTTTTTTTCTGGTTCTTCAAAACCCAGAAGTGAATCTTACCCAGGTTACCCTGGGTATATCTCCTGCTGACTCCATATAAGTTCCATCTGTGTGTGCACAGTTTGCTTGAGATTATCTGAACGAAGCCTTCAACCATCTGTGCACCTGCCAATACATTAAGGAACAATCCTGGTGTGGCCACAAGCTGTTCCTTCACTCAGTTGAGGAGGTCATGAGCAGAAGTCCTCACCTCCTATTGGGAAGACAAGCGGTGGAGTCTGTGGTTTTGCACAGTGTCCCACATGGGGGTGATACAGATGTGCTAAGTGCTTGCTCTCATATGGTGAAAGTTAGTTTGTCTCCATTTTGGGTTGAAAAGTAAAGTCACTGCTGCTGAGTTCCCAGGAGCCCAGTGAGGCGGGCTGCCTCTGAGTTGCCCGGACTATAGCAAACAGCTGTGGGCTCAGTGATAGCTAAGAAATGCCACTCTTCAAGAGAGTACTGACCTCACCATCTGGGAAGAATGGGCATTTTCTGACCCTTTACCAGTGTCCAAACCTGCCAAGGGGGGGCTGTAATCCGCCTTGTGCTTTTGTGGGATAGTGGCTAACAGCAGCTACATATCAAATGGCACCAGTGGAGCAGATTCTCCCTCCTGGAGCAGTGAAGACTCACACCCTGGCAGCAGAAGCAAGCAGGAGCTGGAAGTCTCTGCATGGCACTGAGGTAGAGAAATCTTGCCTTTGGCAGTGTAGTCCCTGGTTTCCAGTTCCTGCTGAGACGAAAGCCCTGTAGGAGCCTGGATCCTGCTGACGCAGGAATCCTTCCTGCTGAAGGATTCAACTAAGGCTGAATCATGCCCTTAGTTTTCTTGCTTCAGGGAGGCAATGGTCACTCAAAATGAGCACATTGGACCTCAGAGGGGTGGGGACTCTCTCATACAATATATTCAGCACAGACTGTCCCTTCAGGTACTTCTGGTTTTCCTGAGCCCCCTGTTCCTCAGACTGGTAGATGGGTACCGCCTACCTGAAGGTGTGAGTAGTTAGTTTGGGGACATCTCTCTCCTGCTCACCCATACTGGTCATCCATCAAGTTTTATGCTGTTGCCTCTTACTTGATTTCTGTTTGTCTCTTGTGTGCCTATGTCCTGCATGGACTGTGATTGTTACAGGTGTTTAGTGACTGAGTGGGGCCTGGCTGCAGAGTAACATATAACAGCAAGGAAAGTCAAACACATTTAAGCAGTTGCATCTGAGTAAGACACATTTTCTTTTCCCTAATTTTTCTGTTTTATTGAAGCATTCAGAAAACCCTGGGCTGCTGATCCACATTTTCCTCAGACTCAGGGCTTTAGGCTGCGAGTTTCTCTGTGGTATGAGTAATTCAGTTCTCTTATTTTTACTGAATACAGTGGGGTTTATACAAAGCAGTGTGTTGGTTTCTAGCCTGTGGGATAACTCACATTTATTTTAATCCCTTCTGAGGGGAAGCGAAGCTTTCCCAGCCTTCAATGAGCAGTTTACACATCTATACTTTGATTTACAAAATTGTGACCTTCCAAGAAAATACATTATCTATAGGAAACTACCATTACAAATAAAAATGCTTTCCATCAGTAAATCAACAGTGTGGTCAGTGATGCTTTCATCCAGTTTTTATGTTGTTACATTTGGCAGTCAGGTTCATGGAAAAGAGTGTTCAAAATAGAGGATGGATGGAGCTGACTGGTGACTCCATTGATGACAACAGCACATAGAACCTCTTTTGTTGCTCTGGAATGACAGCTTTGCTACCCACTTAAGAGCCCTTTATCACTTGGATGACATCTGACAAGAAAGACTGAAAAAGCTGATGTAGCTGAGCAGCTCTGTGCCACGTACAGGAAAATATTCAAGGTGACTCAGTTGCACTGAGAATACTTTTAAAATTAAACTCAAAATTGAAACTTATCTTCAGGAAATAGAAACTGGAAACTGATGTCAGACTAATACAAAATAACTGGAAATTGCTTAAATCAGTAACACACTTCTGCCTGTTCTTAATAATGTTCTTCAGCACTTTGCTGAAGATTTCGACTACTTAATGTTTCTTATGCTGAAGAGATGGTTTACACCGGTAGGGCTAAGATCACAGGTTTTTTTCAAGACAATATTCTACTAATTGCAGGCTGTTGAGTCAGAGTGCTTCATATAGTCTCTCCAGACCTGCTGAATACAGACAACATTATTCAAGAACAATGTGAAAGTTATTATTTAATTAAAGATAATAGACCCTTAGCTGCAAGAGATCCTCTGCCACGCACAACTGATAAATCCAATAGAAGTTGGATGGGAAACTCTGTTCTTGTAATCTGCTTAATTGAAAAGTGCTTCTGATAAAATAGGGTATCAAAGGACTAGCTTGAACTGAAGGATCTTGTCTTTATTCTTAGTCACCCACTATTTAGCTCTGCACTTCATTTCTATTTTGAGAATAAGAAAAGCTTGTGACAAGCCTCTTAAGAACTGAGAATATCCCCACATGTAAGCTGCTATGAGCAAGTTTACTGTAACAGAACAGTATGTCTTGCAATGCTTTTTTAGGGTAGGATGATTTCCCTAGCTGTCAAGGAATCAGGCAACAATGGAGAGTGCTGATTTGCCCAATACATTCTTAAGATTTTCCATCTTTGCATTGAAGACTGTGACCCTGAAGCATTTTGATACACATAGAGTATAATTTGAAGGAAACTGTAGAATGAAAGTAGACAAAAGGCCTTTATTAGCAAAAAGTGACCCACAGGTGCAGAGGAGGTGAAACATCTTTGAGAAAGTGGCTGTCTCTGCAGAAGTCGTAGGTATTTGAGGCTTCAATGGAATTTTAATAAGGATTATGCTGAGCAAAGGGATTTCAATGCAAATGTGCTTCTCTAAGCCTTGAGCTTCTTCAGGTGAAGCAGTGTCTCTGGGTGGCTTCTGCAAGTGAGGTTGTTCCATGGCCACAGAACAGGAATGAAGTGAAAGATGAGAATATATGTTGTGTGGTGTAGTTTAGGAGTCACTTTTCTCCATTTCTGGTTTATATTCCCTGTGTGTATTTGAAAGTCTAAAGATTTAGGTTTTTTTAAATTCAAAGCTTAGTTCTGTAATACATTACTAGATCATTTGTTATCAAGCTGAGAGATAAGACCAGTGTTTAATGACAAAATACAAATAGTAAAATTTTTTCTATATTTTGCTAAAAAAATATAATTCTACCATTTCATTAAAAAAAAACCTCTACTATTCTGCACTTTTTAGTGCTATGTACATATTATTCAGAAATGGAATCTGATCCAAATGTGGTATTAAGCACAGAGAAAGTGATGCTTTGTTTAAGTTTGGGGAGAAGAAGGATTAATATTTCCAATGAACTAGTGCTCCTTGCAGCATTTACTATGAAATATCCCTGCTATTTTTCACTGTTGAGGACAAAAATTAGAAATTCTGAGTCTTAAAAAATTGTCTGTGCAAAATTTGGGTAAAACCTAAAAATGTCTGTACCTGACTCTGGATAGTGCTTAGAGAAAAATTAGTAAATGAGATACATTCTATTTATTTAGGATTGTATCTTTTCAATTACCTAAAATGCTGAACTTCAATATTTTGTGTTTAGACTGGGAATTTATGTTTACATTAAAATCACTTCAGTAAAAGATGTGGTTTTACATTTTTTTAACTCTTAAAAGAGTATTTAAAAACTCTTGCTGCACAGAGGGACAGTCATGCTTTTTTCCTGGTTAGTGATCTAAGAGGTAATCCTGTGGAAAACAAAACAGAACAGAACAAAAAGAAGATTAAAATGTTCTGCTGGATCAAAGAAGGAAACAGCAGGAACATGTATGGGGTTACCAGGAGAAGCAGGGGTGAGCCATACTGTGCCAAGATAAGTAAGAAAGCAATTCAGTTATGTCTGTAACAACTAGTCCAGCTGGTTGTAAATCATGAATCCACTTTTGTATCCAGTGAAGTGAGTGCTTGCTGGCTCATTGTGTGCTGCCCCTGTTTGCAGTGGATCTGGTCCTGAAGGAGCGAGGTATTTGACAGTAGAGAGAAAACTGTGAAATATGGATGTCAGATAAGAGATAAGCTGGATAGATAGTTCAAAGGAAATGTCCTGGATAGGAACAGAGCATGTGTATATCTCTGCTTTCATCTAGAAGAGGAAGTTCTAATGCCCTGTTATCATTTTAATATGCTATGAATTCAGCAAGGTAGTTTTGAATCAAGAATCCTGTGCTATCTACACAAGTCTGTCCCTGGCCAGTGTCACTCTGACATCCTCAAACATCCAGCACTAACTCAAACCAGATTATTTTTGGCTGCACAGTGCTCTGACTCCAGCCGTTCTCCCATCTCTGGGTTATTTCAGATCAGAGATATGTCATCTTGACACAGGAAAACTACTTTGATACCTAATGACATCACTGCTGTTGTAGTGGAAGAGAAGGAGGTCAGTGGTTTGTACTTTTTGGTGGAAACATCATAAAATCACTAAACAGCTCAGCACTTACTGCTTCCATGGCAGTCTGTATACCACTCCCTGTAAAGCTGGGACCTCCTAGGCTACATTTAGGTCAGCACTGTGCTGGGGCAATTCTGCTCTTTCAAGCCTTCTAGGGAATCTTGTTCCCTCACCTGAGGATATAATATCTGCTTCCTTTTTTTCCCTCTGTATTTAACAGTTTCACTTCTGTCCCACTGACCATGCCATTCCACTTCCAGGGCACCCAAAATCAAAATTGTAACCTAGCTAGACAAATCAAAAATTAACCAAAATAGAGGTATAAATGGTACATAAATTATGCATACAAAGAAAAGAAAGATAGTGTGCATTCAGGGAATATCAATTGTTAAATTTCTCCCCCTCATCAAGGGAAGTATGTGAGTGTGTGGGCATATATAAATGTTGGTTGAAAGGAAGTGAGGAATGGGGAGAGAAAAGCAAAGGAAAACCAAAAGATTATGGGTCACTTTCAAGTAGAGGTATTATATGATTTTAAAATTCTGTTTTGTAATAACTTGGGATTTTTCTTTTTTTTTCTTTTTTTCCTTTTTTTCCATAGAATGTAGGTTCTCCAGCAGAAATCTCCTTCTGGCAGAAGACAGACATGTACAAGTGAAAGTACCATGGCCCATGTCCACAAACCAGATGTTTTCACTGTGCAGTGCCAGAGGTGAGTGTACGGTGAACCCTGCCTGCTTCAGGATTCCAGGGCTCTGCACAGTGCCCATTACTCAGCCACAGGGTTAATCCTAACACAGGACACAGGATCTACTTACAAACAGCTCACTGAAACCTGTGTTTTCTTTGCTTTCTCAACTTAGGGATTTTGCAATCAGTCATTATTAGTACACTTACTGTCATTGAGAATGAATGCTTTTATGGAGAGGTAATAAATGCTTTCCATTGCTGTAGCTCTAGTGAAAAGTTATAGAAGTTTTCTCAAGCTCACTCACTTTGAGGTCAATGTAGAAACTGAGGAACAAATTTTATTTATTTTATCTCTTGTTGATTCCATTCAGATTTTCCAGTCACTCATCAGGCTTGCAAATAATGTAGTTTTTTGTTCTCTAATGGCTAGAGAGTTCTGAGATAAGAAATAGGTTTTCTCCCACTGGGGAGAAGATTAGCATTTAGTTGAGTAACTCTGTTTTATCCTCCTAAGGACTAGTGTTAAAAGTCTCCTTGAAATAACCATTCACCTAAAAGCTAGGGTTCTCCATGGGATTTAGAAGGCTGAAGCTCATGCCTTGGCATTGCCTGAGAAGATTCTTCCATTTCCCACATTTGTGTTCTGGTCAGCAGGTTGTTGTTTATTAGTACATTAGTGCTTATGGTGGGTTCAGGGAAAAGGCTTAAATTTTATTCCTCATTAGACCAATAGGTTTTGAAATCTTGTTGTTTTTGTCATGAGATGAGAGCTTTATTTTACCAAGAGTTACCTTTCACATAATATAAAGCAAAGTTAGTAATTTGGTAATTAATTTCCTTAGGATATATGGGTTAATCTGTGCCTTGTCTGTGTCTCCCTTGATTCATCTGGAACACTGTGCCCAAAAGAGGAGGGAGGAAGAGCAGATATAAACATAACCTTTCTCTCTTTTTTTTCCAGTTGTCTCTGGCTACTAAGGTGTGCTTTGTATAGCCTAAAAAATACTGTCCACTAGCAGAAGAACTGCTTGGAAAAAGCCAAACCCATTCATCTCCTTACATGGCCTGAGAAAATACTGGTGCCTAGTAGTTACCACCCAGTGAGAGTTCAGTCATACTCAGGCCAGAGCTGTCTTCTCTCTGCTTCATTTACTGCTTGTTCCATTTGCTTTCTGGTATTTTTATAATTTCTGTCTGCCTTATTAGCCTTATAACAGACACCTCACAGAAGATCATGATGGGCTGAGGCAGGTAATACCACTCTGCCTTTCAAAATCACACATTTAAGAAAGATAGCTCTGACTTTTTAAGTAATTTGCTCCCGGTACTTGGCATGTGCAGGTTCTCCCTTCAGCTGGGTTGAGAGGAGAGTAGAAGTTTTTAAGACTGTTACCCTTCATTCCTCTCAGTTCTCCACATAAAGCTATTTGGCTTTCCAGTGCTTTCGCTTTG